TCCTGAGTCCTCTCTTCATGCTCTTGCCGACCCGGAGTCGGACTCTCTTCGTGCTGCCAGTCCTACTGTCACGCGTCTCCTTGCTACTTTGTCACTGACCCTTCCTTTGAGTCCACTGCTTCGTCTGCACTAGTTGCTGAGCTCGTCGACTTTGCTGCTCGCTGTCGCCTAGACTACGCTGCCAGTCTTGTTGCTGAGTCTGAGTCTACCTGTCCTCCGTCCTTCGGGGGTGAGTGTGCCCTTGGCACGGACGTCCTTGAGGACAGGCACGAGGAGTTCCAGTGTTTGGCTGCTGCTTCACCTCATCTCGTGTCCGTACTGCTTACCCCTGAGGGAGACCCGGATGCACTTGACATCCCGACTCCGCGCTCTTACGCGGAGGCGATAGAGGGTCCCTACTCCTCTCAGTGGCAGGCAGCTATGGACGCAGAGATGGCTTCCTGGAAGTCCACAGGCACCTACGTTGACGACGTTCCCCCTCCTGGGGCGAACATCGTCAGTGGAATGTGGATTTTCTGGGTGAAGCGGCCGCCGGGTTCTCCGCCTGTCTTCAAGGCGCGTTACGTGGCTCGTGGTTTCAGTCAGTGGCAGGGAGTTGACTACTTTCGGACCTTCTCTCCCACCCTGAAGATGACCACTCTTCGGGTACTGCTGCACGTAGCTGGTCACCGTGACTGCGAGCTACACTCTCTTGACTTCAGCACTGCTTTCCTGCAGGGCAGCCTGTACGAGGAGATCTGGCTGCGCCGCCCACCTGGCTTCACTGGGACTTTTCCTCCTGGCACCCAGTGGAGCCTCCGGCGGCCAGTCTATGGTCTCCGCCAAGCACCGCGTGAGTGGCACGACACACTGAGGACTACACTTGCGGCTCTTGGGTTTGCTCCCTATACTGCCGACCCGTCGCTGTTTCTACGCACCGACACTTCTCTGCCGTCGTTCTACATCCTCGTGTACGTCGACGACTAGGTCTTTGCCACACCTGACACTGTTGGACTCGCCCACGTGAAGTCCGAGCTGCAGAAGAGACACACGTGCACTGACCTGGGTGAACTGCGCAGCTACCTTGGCTTGCAGATCACCCGGGACAGAGCACGCTGCACCATTACCCTGACTCAGTCACACATGGTGCAGCAGGTCCTTCAGCGCTTCGGCTTCACGTACTCCTTTCCTCAGGCCACTCCTCTGTCTACTCGCCACTCGCTCTCAGCTCTGCCTTCGGATGAGTCCGTAGAGTCGAGTGGCCCGTACCCAGAGCTTGTTGGCTGCCTCATGTACCTGATGACCTGCACACGACCTGACCTTGCATACCCTCGTAGCATTCTCGCACGCTATGTTGCTCCTGGGAGACACCGACCAGAGCACATGGCTGCAGCGAAGAGGGTGTTGCGCTACTTGTGCAGTACGTCAGGCATGGGGCTTGTGCTTGGAGGGCAGAGTCCAGTGGTCCTCACTGGGCACGCAGACGCTTCTTGGGCTGACGACCAGGCTACGCAACGGTCGTCACAGGGTTACACCTTCAGCCTTGGTTCCGGCTCTGTTTCGTGGCAGGCTACTCGCTTGTCTTCTGTTCTCGGCTCCAGTTGTGAGGCTGAGATCTACGCAGGAGTCATGGCTGCACAGGAGCTTCGCTGGCTCACCTACCTGCTGACCGACCTCGGAGAGCCGCCTCGTTCTCCTCCAGTGCTGTACGTAGACAACAAGGCCATGCTGGCCTTGTGTCGGGAGCAGCGACTGGAGCACAGAACGAAGCACATTGCTCTCCGCTACTTTCTTGCTCGTGAGCTGTAGCAGCGTGGTCAGCTGCGCCTTGCGTACGTGGCCTCTGAGGCCAGCACTGCTGATATCTTCACCAAGGCGCTTGCGCCTTGTGATCATCAGCGCTTCTGTACTCAGCTGGATCGTGTGCCTGCCTTGCCTCACTTACTCACCTCTTGACCTTGTTTGTACTGTTACATATATATATGCACCTGCTCTTGCTTGTCTAGCCTTTTATATATATATATATGTACTCCTGCATGTGAACTGCCTTGTGGTCTTGAACTTGTGCTCGGAATGTGTGGTGACTTTGTGATCCACCCTGAGCTTGCTTTGCTTTGCTTGACTGGTCTTGTGACCCCTTGTTCTCCCCCACTTTGCCTATGGGGGTGTGTCAGAACATAATAGCTTATGCATTTTGTGTAGGCTGTAGTGGGGTAGCCCATAAGGGGTACAACCCAATTAGGGTTAGTACTTGTACCCAACTCTTTCATAGTTCATCCATTCTCATTCTAGTTTTCTCAACACCGGCATTTCACGGACCGATGGCACCACCTTCGCCGATTTGTGGCGACCCTCGAAATTTACTTCGAGGCCATTGGGTGTTCGACCCCGACACACGACGCAGCAAGAATTCGGCTCGCAGCGACACTGTTGCGGGAACCAGCACTCGAGTGGATTTATTACACTGACGTGGCCCACTCGGAGAAAACGTGGGCGCAGTTTCGGGCAGACCTCATAGAACGTTTCGAGCCAATTAATACAACCTACATGGCGCGGCAGCAAATACACCGACACAAACAGTACAGTAGTGTAGCAGCGTGCACGCAGCAGATGGAGCTATTGTTCAACCGCATCACTGACCTGACCGAAGGCGAAAAAATCCAGGCGTACACAGAAGGGTTAAAATTGGAGATTCGCCAGCAGGTCATTGCAGCGAACTATAATAATTACCGCGACATCGTGCGTACTGCTGAACGATACGACGCTTTGACTCGTGGTCAACCCGAAACACGACGTTACGGGCCGAACCGTACATTCAGCACGGAGCGATCGGTACCCCCCACGTTCGCCGAACCAATGGATATCGACAAATTTGACGCGAAGCAGTAACCGACAAAATGCGAATTTTTGCGGCGCAGCGAGGCATCAATTTTTGTCGTGCTACAAAATGAAGAAAGCACGTGCGGCACTTTTGGGCAGCAACAGTGGAGCACCCCCGAAGTAAAAAAACGGGAATCGCCAGTAACCGCGGATCGACCTAACGATCGCGTAAAGATCCGAAAAGCAGAAAAGGGCGACGGCGTGGCGACTTCGGAGCGGGTGAAAAAAGGAGAAAATGATGGCGCGAATAAAAAACGTCACGACCGGCCAGCATCAGGGGAAATCTCCGAGGCAAATCGGGGCTCCGCGAAAAAAAAACTCTGCACCGACCGGGAAACTCCACCCGAACACCCACGAAAGTAAGAATTCGTTAAAAGTATCCTATAAAGATACTCTAACGAAAAATATTGCTTCTCGTGGTTTTTTGTGAAAGAATTACCAGGAATGAGTTGGGTACAAATATGTAACCCTAGTAAACTGCACCCCATACTACCTACCCCACTACAGCCTAGAAAGACTATAGCATGAATGTTTGACACACCCCTATAGGCAAAGTGGGGGAGAACAAGGGGTCACAAGACCAGTCAAGCAAGGCAAGCTCAGGGTGGATCACAACGTCACCACACATTCCGAGCACAAGTTCGAAGGCCAAAAGGCCAGTTCACATGCAGGATTATAAATCAAGGTGAACAAGCAAGACAGTGATCACAACCTAGCAAAGGTACATAGGCAGGTGCAGGATATATAGATCACAGTACAAAGCTAAGTCAAGAGGTAAGCAAGTGAGGCCAGGTAGGCACAAGACCTAACATAGTACAGAAGCGCTGATGATCACAAGGCTGAAGTGCCTTGGTAAAGATATCAGCAGTGTTGGCCTGAGAGGCCACGTAAGCAAGGCGCAGCTGACCACACTACTGCAGCTCACGTGCTAGGAAGTAGCGGAGAGCAATGTGCTTCGTTCTGTGCTCCAATCTGTGCTCCTGACACAAGGCCAGCATGGCCTTGTTGTCTACGTACAGAACAGGAGGAGAACAAGGCGGCTCTCCCAGGTCGGTCAGCAGGTAGGTGAGCCAGCGTAACTCCTGTGCAGCCATGGACTCTGCGTAGATCTCGGCCTCACAGCTGGAGCCGAGAACAGAAGATGAGCGGGTAGACCGCCACGAAACAGAGCCGGAACCAAGGCTGAAGGTGTAACCCTGCGACGACCGCTGCGTATCCAAGTCGTCAGCCCAAGAAGCGTCTGCGTTACCAGTGAGGACCACTAAGCGTCGCCCTCCAAGCACGAGCCCCAAGCCCAACGTACTGCACAAGTAGCGCAACACCCTCTTAGCAGCATCCATGTGCTCCTTCCTGTGTCGGCCACGAGCGACATAGCGTGCTTGGATGCTAAGAGGGTATGCAAGGTCGGGTCGAGTGCAGGTCATCAGGAACATGAGGCAGCCCACAAGCTCTGGATATGGGCCACTCGGCTCTACGGACTCATCCGAAGGCAGAGCTGAGAGCGAGTGGCGCGTAGGCAGAGGAGTGGGCTGTGGCGAGGAGTACGTGAAGCGGAAGCGCTGAAGGACCTGCTGCACCATGTGTGACTGAGTCAAGGTAATGGTGCGCTGTGCTCTGTCCTGGGTGATCCGTAAGCCAAGATAGCTTGTCAGCTCAACCAGGTCTGTGCACGTGTGTCTCTTCTGCCGCTCCGTCTTCACGTGGGCGAGTGCCTCAGTGTCACCAGTAGCAAAAACCAAGTCGTCGACGTACACAAGAACGTAGAACGGCGGCAGAGTGGTGTCGGTGCGTAGAAACAGCGACGGGTCAGCAGTAGAAGGAGCAAACCCAAGAGCAGCAAGAGTCGTCCTCAGTGTGACGTGCCAGTCACGGGGTGCCTGGCGGAGACCGTAGACCGGCCGCCGGAGGCTCCACTGGGTACCAGGAGGAAACGACCCAGTGAAGCCAGGTGGGCGGCGCAGCCAGATCTCCTCGTGAAGGCTGCCCTGTAGGAAAGCAGTGCTGAAGTCAAGTGAGTGGAGCTCGTAGTCACACTGAGCAGCGACGTGCAGCAGAACCGGAAGAGTGGTCATCTTCGGGGTAGGGGAGAAGGTCTGGAACAAGTCAACTCCCTCACGCTGACTGAAGCCTCGTGCAACGTATCACGCCTTGAAGACAGGCGGAGAACCCGGCGGCCGCTTCACCCTGAAAATCCACATGCCACTAACAATGTTCGCCCCAGGCGGGGGAACCTCGTCAACGTAGGTGCCTGTGGACTTCAAGGAAGCCATCTCTGCGTCCGTGGGTGACTGCCACTGAGAGGAGTAGGGACCCTCTATCGCCGATGCGTAAGAGCGCGGGGCCGGGATGTCTGGGGCATCCGGGTCTCCCTCAGGGGCAATCAGCATGGACACGAGATGAGGTAAAGCAGTGGCAAAGCACTCAAACTCCTCCTGTCTGTCCTCAAGGACGTCTGTGCCAAGAGCACACTCACCCCCAACAGACGGAGGACAGGCAGACTCAGACTCAGCAACAAGACTAGCAGCGTAGTCGAGACGACAGTGAGCAGCAAAGTTAACAAGCTCAGCAACTAAGGCAGATGCAGCAGTGGACTCAAAGGAAGGGTCAGTGCCAACAGTGGCCAGGAAACGCGTGACAGTAGGACTAGCAGCACGAAGGGAGTCAGACTCCGGGTCAGCAAGAGCAGGAAGAGAGGACGCAGGAGGAGACGGCAGAGGGACACGCTGTGGAGCAGTGGAAGGACGAAGCGCCATCTGGTGTGTGCCTGGGACAGCAGGAGGACGCTGACGCGGAACACGACGACCAGTGCGAGCAGCACGAACAGGCGACGCACGACGAGACTCAGGCGACGCAGGACGAGACTCAGGCTCACGACGCTCCGTAAGACCTCTGGTCGGACCAGTGTAGGGAGAAGGACCAGGGAGTGGCGAGGCAGGCTGTAACTGTGACTACGACAGGACAGGCAGAGGACACTCTGAAGAGGGAGTAGGACCAGGAGCAGGCGGGAGACCAAGAACCTGCTGAAGGAGCGGAACGAAGTATGGCCGCGGCCGCGCAGCACCTCCATAACCAGCAGAGACACCACTAGCACCCTCATCTCCAGGGTCTCCAGCTACAACTCCCGCAGCACCACCAGTAGCTCCAGCAGCTCCAGCACCTCCAGCTCCAACTCCCGCAGCAGCTCCAGTCCCAGTAGCTCTAGAAACTCCAGTACGAGCACCTCCAGGGCCAGCGGCCCCAGCAGCTCCAGCACCAGCAGCACCTCCAGCAGCTCCAGCACTGGTAGCACCTCCAGCAGCTCCAGCACCAGCAGTACCTCCAGCAGCTCCAGCACCAGCAGCACCTCCAGTAGCTCCAGCTCCAGCAGTACCTCCAGCAGCTCCAGCACCAGCAGCACCTCCAGCAGCTCCAGCACCAGCAGCACCTCCAGCAGCTCCAGCACCAGCAGTACCTCCTGCAGTAGGCCCCCCAGCTCCAGCAGCACGGCTACAGTGCCAAGCGTACCACTCACGAAGCTGTCGTGGAGAGAGGGGCTCCCGCCGCAACGGGACATTCGGAGGACCTCCAGTCTCAGCACCCCCAGACTCAGCAACCCTAGGCTCAGCACCCCCAGGCTCAGCACCCCGATGCTCTGTCAAACATTATATATGTTGTTGTTGTAGTTGTTTAGGCTACAGTGGGTTAGCCTATAGGGGGTACACATTTCTAGGTTTTCATACTTGTACTCATTTCACTGTTAGTTCATTCATTCTTGTTCAACATGGTATAGAGCAGGTCCTTCCTAGGACCGAATTATTTTAGGGCCCACCACCTACCTACCTACCTACCTACCTACGCCCTAGGGCGCCTCGGCCTTCACGCCCCTAGAGGCCCCGTCGGCCCCACGCTCTACCCTCTAGAGGCCCGTGTCGGCCCCGCGCTCGTCCTTAGCGGCCTCGTGTCGGCCCCGCGCTTACCCCTAGAGGCCCGTGTCGGCCCCGCGCTCGTCCCTTCCGGCCCCGATCGGCTCGCGCTAGTCCCTCAAAGCCCCGATCTACCCCGCGCTAGCCCTTAGAGGCCCCTGATCGGCCCCGCGCTCGTCCCTTACGGCCCCGTCGGCCCCGCGCTCGTCCCTTACGGCCCCGTCGGCCCCGCGCTAGTCCCTTACGGCCCCGATCGGCCTCGATCGGCCCCACGCTCGTCCCTCACGGCCCCACTAGGCCCCGCGCTCGCCCTTAGCGCCCACGTCGGCCCCGCGCTTGTCCCTCATAGCCCCACCCGCTCCTCGCGCTCGCCCTTAGCGGTCCCGAACGGCCCCACCCAGAACGAGCCGCCCGAACCGAGCCGACCCGAGCCGCCCAGCCCTAACGGAACCGAGCCGCCCGACTCGAGCCGCCAGCCCTAACCAACCCGAGCCGCCCGAACCGAGCCGCCCGACCGAGCCGCGCCGCCCGACCCGAGCCGCCCGAACCGAGCCGCGCCGCCCGACCCGGGCGCGCCGCCCTACCTATACCGAGCCGCACCTCCCTACCTACCCTACTGCTTTTTCCTACTGCTGCTACCATGGCTAGCCCTCCTGTACTAGCCTTTGATGCTGATGGCCGCCCAGTGAAGTTCGACACCTGGCTTGATGACCTACACCTCTTCCTACAGCTCACTGCCAAGGAAGACATCTCGCTGTACAATCACGCCTTAGGCCACGCTACTGCTCCTGCTGCTACTGCTGACAGCACTGCCCGCTCACAGTGGCAGACTCGTGACGCCCATGCTCGCTTCGCTATTCGCAACTCTCTGCCGATAGATGAGCGCGAGCACTTTGGGCAGCACAAGACTGCGCAGGCACTGTACATTGCTGTCGTTGCCCGCTACTCCTCACCGGCCTCTGCCGCTCTAGGCCGTCTCTCTCTTCCCTACCTGTTCCCCGACTTAGCTTCCTTTCACACAGTCGCTGATCTCATTACCCACCTCCGCACTAGTGAGGCTCGCTTCCGCGCCGCTATGCCTGATGAGTTCCTTGCCAAGAACCCACCCCCGCTCTGGCTCACTCTCTACCACCTAGTCACGCACCTCCCTGACACTCTGCGTTCGGTCTGGGACCACTTCCTAGCTCGCTGCCCCACCGAGCTCACCATTGCCCTCCTCGAGAAGGAACTCCTTGCAGCTGAGGCTAGCATAGTCGCTGTAGGTGCCTCTCGCGGTGACCCCCGTACCCCGTTCTTTGAGGGGTGTTCTCCCTCCCCCCTTCTTCCCTCTGTCGCCTCTGCTGCTGCTGTCGACCTCCTTGGTGCTGAGAAGGTCGGGACTGCGTCTACTTCGAGTGGGCGCCGCAGCGGCAAGGGCAAGGGGGGCAAGGGCGGTGGTGGTGACAGCGGGGGTGGCAGTGGTGGGGGAGGTGGTGGTGGCGGGGGGGGTGGCGCGGGTGGGGGAGGTGGCAGCAGTGGGGGGGGTGGCGGCAGCGGTGGGGGAGGTGGCCGGGGCGGAGGAGGTGGTGGGGGTGGCGGTGGACGAGGCAGCGGCCGGGGTTGGGGTGGTCGAGGAGGTGGTAGCGGCGGTGGTGGTCGTGGAGGCACTGGCGGTGGCCAGGGCCAGCAGCACACTCCGTCGCCCCAGGAGGTCCGTGAGTGGTACTCTCAGCACGAGGGGGGGGGTGGCCTTAGCTGCACGTACGTCATTCGCACTGGTGACCGCACTGGCCAGCCATGTGGGGGACCGCACGCCACACAGTGTTGTTTCGCTCGACTGAACGACGCTTGGCGTGTTCAGTTCCCTCAGGCCATTGAGCTGCCCCGCTGGATTGATCTCCTGAAGAAGGGGATTGATATCTATGCTCTAGACTTTGATGCTATTCTCACTGCCATGTATGTGATGTCTACTAGTGGAGAGGGTGCTGAGTACCTGAGTGTCCCGCCCGACCCGGGCATTAGGACTAGTGCGTCTGCTGCTCCAGGTACTCGCGTGCCTACTACCCCAGGTGCTGGTGAGGCTGCTGCTCTAGGTGCTTGTACGTCTGCCCCCCCTAGTACTGTGTCGACTGCAGCACTGCACACCTTCACACTGGATTCAGGTGCCTCTCGCTGTTTCTTTCGTGACCGCACTGCCCTTGAGCCGCTTGCTCGGCCAGTAGCTGTCTCCCTCGCTGACCCCTCTGGGGGTCCAGTCATTGCGACCTCCTTCACTGTCCTTCCCTGTCCTGCGGTCCCGTCGGGCACACTGTCAGGTCTCCACCTCCCCTCGTTCTCTACGAACTTGGTGGCAGGTTGTGCTCTCTAGGACGGGGGTGTTCACCAGTTCACCCCTGCCTACGAGCGTGTGACACACTGCACGTGTGCTCGTACGGGCCGTCACTTGGCTACCTTCACCCGGCAGCCGGGGTCGGACCTATACACACTGACTACTGCCTCCCCTCAGGTCGCTGCGTCTGCGTCTGCGTTTGCGTCCGCGTCAGGTCAGCTGTCTGCCCCCTCCTCGTGTCGCTCTCTAGCGCACGAGACTGTCCTCTGGCACCACCGACTTGGCCACCCGTCTGTGCAGCGCCTTCGTGCCATGCACTCCCGGTACCTTGTCTCTGGTCTTCCCAGGGTCCTCCCTCCCGTCCCACCCTCGCCTGCTCCTCCCTGCCTTCCCTGTGTCGAGGGGCGGCAGCGCGCCGCTCCTCACTCCTCCTCGTTTCCCCTGACGACTGCTCCTTTGCAGACGCTCCACATGGACGTGTGGGGCCCAGCCCGCGTCCGTGGTCAGGGTCAGGAGAGGTACTTCCTGATAGTTGTTGACGACTACTCGCGCTACACCACGGTCTTCCCCTTGCGCACCAAGGGTGAGGTCCCTGATGTCTTGATCCCTTGGATCCGCAGAGCTCGTCTCCAGCTCAGTGAGCGTTTCCGCTCGGACTTTCCTGTCCTGCGCTTGCACTCTGACAAAGGTGGTGAGTTCTCCTCCGACCTCTTGGCAGCCTACTGTGCTGAGCACGGCATTGAGCAGTCGTTCACGCTTCCGGCCTCTCCACAGCAGAATGGGGTTGCGGAGCGCCGCATTGGCCTGGTCATGGAGATCGCTCGTACCTCCTTGATCCATGCGGCTGCCCCCCACTTTCTGTGGCCGTTTGCGGTCCGGTACGCTGCGCATCAGCTCAACCTCTGGCCCCGTGTCTCCTTGCCGGAGACCTCGCCCACACTGCTGTGGACGGGGGAGGTTGGCGATGCGTCGCGTTTCCGAGTCTGGGGATCTCGAGCTTTTGTCCGCGATTCGTCTGCGGACAAGCTCTCCTCTCGTGCTGTTCCCTGCGTCTTCCTCGGCTTTGTTCCGGACGCGCCTGGTTGGCAGTTTTACCACGCCACCTCGCGCCGGGTCTTGCCCTCTCAGGACGTCACTTTTGACGAGTCTGTCCCCTACTACCGTCTCTTCCCCTACCGCACTGCCCCGCTCCCACCCCCGCCTCTCTTCCTCGCGCCAGGTGCTGCTGTCGTAGACCCCCTCCTCCCTCAGGGTGCCGCTCCCTCAGGTGTGTCTCAGGTAGACCCGGTCGAGCCTGTTGAGGTTGCTGTCGACTCTCGTCCTGCTGGGGGTGCTTAGCCTGGGGGTGCGGACTCTGGGGGTGCTGAGCCTGGGGGTGGGGACACTGAGGGTGCTGAGCCTGGGGGTGCGGACATTGGGGGTACTGAGCCTGGGGGTGCTGAGCCTGGGGGTGCGGTGTCTGGGGGTGCGGTGACTGGGGGTGCTGAGCCTGGGGGTGCTGACTCTGGGGGTTCTGACTCTGGTGGTGCTGGTCCTGAGGGTACTACACCTGGACGAGACCTCTCCTCGGAGCAGTTGCGTGAGTGGTACTTACAGTACTGCAGCCTCCGGAGAGGTACCTCTTGTCAGAATATTATCTTATTGTTCTAGCCTGTAGTGGGGTGCTCTATAGCGAGTACAACCCTTCTAGGGTTTGCTATTTGTATCCTCATTCTTGCTAGTTCAATCCCCTCTTTCTTCCTTCTAATTTTGACACCTCTGGGACCAGCCGCACTACAGGGACTGGTGCTGGTACTTCTCCTCCTAGTCGGGAGCTCCCCTCTCTTGAGCGGATCCGTGAGTGGTACGAGCGCCGTTGCACACTTCGGAGTGGTGCGCCTCGTCTCACGGACCCGGGCGTTGGGGCTGCTGCTGGTGCTACGGACCCGGGCGTTGGAGCTGCTGCTGGTGCTGAGGACCCGGGCGTTGGGGCTGCTGCTGGTGCTACGGACCCGGGCGTTGGAGCTGCTGCTGGTGCTGCAGACCCGGGAGTTGGAGGTACTACTGGTGCTGAGGACCCGGGCGTTGGAGCTGAGGCTGGTACTGAGAACCTTGGCGTTGGAGCTGCTGCTGGTTCTGGTACTGCCACTGGGGGTACTGGTCCTGTCCCTGCTGTGTCTGGAGTCGCCACGCGCCCTCAGCCGTACTTCGTTCCGCTCCTTCAGCAGGTTCTTGGTCTCTCACCTCCTCCCTTAGCGTGTTCACGGCCTGTCCGGTCACAGTTACAGTTGCAGCCGGTCTCCCCACTGCCTGCTCCTTCTCCTTACACTGGTCCTACTGGCGGTCTTACTGAGCGTCGTGAGTCTGCGTCTCGTCCTGGGTCGCCTGTCAGTCCTACTAGTGCTAGTGCTCGTACTTCGCGTCAGCGTCCTCCTCCTGTCCCTGGCACGCACCGGATGTCTCTGCGTCCGTCTACTGCTCCTCTGCGTGCCCCTTTGCCTTCACCTCCTGAGTCCTCTCTTCCTGTCCTTGCCGACCCGGAGTCGGACTCTCTCCGTGCTGCCAGTCCTACTGTCACGCATCTCCTTGCTACTGTCGTCACTGACCCTTCTTTCGAGTCTACTGCTGCGTCTGCCCTTGTTACTGAGCTCGTCGACTTTGCTGCTCGCTGTCGTCTAGACTACGCTGCTAGTCTTGTCGCTGAGTCTGAGTCTGTCTGTCCTCCGTCCGTCGGGGGTGAGTGTGCCCTTGGCACGGACGTCCTTGAGGACAGGCAGGAGGAGTTCCAGTGTCTGGCCGCTGCTTCACCTCATCTCGTGTCCGTACTGCTTACCCCTGAGGGAGACCCGGATGCACTTGACATCCCGACTCCGCGCTCTTACGCGGAGGCTATAGAGGGTCCCTACTCCTCTCAGTGGCAGGCAGCTATGGATGCAGAGATGGCTTCCTGGAAGTCCACAGGCACCTACGTTGACGCTGTTCCCCCTCCTGGGGCGAACATCGTCAGTGGCATGTGGATCTTCAGGGTGAAGCGGCCGCCGGGTTCTCCACATGTCTTCAAGGCGCGTTACGTGGCTCGTGGCTTCAGTCAGCGGCAGGGAGTTGACTTCTTTCAGACCTTCTCCCCCACCCCGAAGATGACCACTCTTCGGGTACTGCTGCACATTGCTGCTCACCGGGACTACGAGCTGCACTCTCTTGACTTCAGCACAGCTTTCTTGCAGGGCAGTCTGCACGAGGAGATCTGGCTGCGCCGCCCACCTGGCTTCACTGGGTCTTTCCCTCCTGGTACCCAGTGGAGTCTCCGGCGTCCAGTCTACGGTCTCCGCCAGGCGCCACGTGAGTGGCACGACACACTGAGGACTACGCTTGCGGCTCTTGGGTTCGCTCCTTCTACTGCCGACCCGTCGCTATTTCTGCGCACCGACACCTCTCTGCCGCCGTTCTACATCCTCGTGTACGTCGATGACTAGGTCTTTGCCACAGCTGACACTGCTGGACTCGCCCACGTGAAGTCGGAGCTGCAGAAGAGACACACGTGCACTGACCTGGGTGAACTGCGCAGCTACCTTGGCTTGCAGATCACCCGGGACAGAGCACGCCGCACCATTACCCTGACTCAGTCACACATGGTGCAGCAAGTCCTTCAGCGCTTCGGCTTCACGTACTCCTCGCCTCAGGCCACTCCTCTGTCTACTCGCCACTCGCTCTCAGCTCCGCCTTCGAATGAGTCCGTAGAGTCGAGTGGCCCGTACCTAGAGCTTGTTGGCTGCCTCATGTACCTGATGACCTGCACACGACCTGACCTTGCTTACCCTCTTAGCATTCTTGCACGCTATGTTGCTCCTGGGAGACACCGACCAGAGCACATGGCTGCAGCGAAGAAGGTGTTGCGCTACTTGTGCAGTACGTCGGGCATGGGGCTAGTGCTTGGAGGGCGGAGTCCAGTGGTCCTCACTGGACACGCAGACGCTTCTTGGGCTGACGACCAGGCTACGCAGCGGTCGTCACAGGGTTACACCTTCAGCCTTGGTTCCGGCTCTGTTTCGTGGCGGGCTACGCGCTCGTCTTCTGTTCTCGGCTCCAGTTGTGAGGCTGAGATCTACGCAGGGGCCATGGCTGCTCAGGAGCTTCGCTGGCTCACCTACCTGCTGACCGACCTTGGAGAGCCGCCTCGTTCTCCTCCAGTCCTGTACGTCGACAACAAGGCCATGCTGGCCTTGTGTCGAGAGCAGAGACTGGAGCACACAACAAAGCACATTGCTCTCCGCTACTTCCTTGCTCGTGAGCTACAGCAGCGTGGTCAGTTGCGACTTGCGTACGTGGCCTCTGAGGCCAACACTGCTGATGTCTTCACCAAGGCACTTCCGCCTTGTGATCATCAGCGCTGCTGCACCCAGCTGGGTCTTGTGTCTGTCTTGCCTCACTTGCTCTCCTCTTGACCCTCTTTGTACTGTTACATATATATATTACTGCTCTTGCTTGTTTAGTCTTATATATATATGTACTCCTGCATGTGAACTGGCCTTGTGGCCTTGACCTTGTGCTCGGACTGTGTGGTGACGTTGTGATCCACCCTGAGCTTGCTTTGCTTTGTTTTACTTTACTTGACTGGTCTTGTGACCCCTAGATCTCCCCCACTTCGCCTATGGGGGTGTGTCAAACATTATATATGTTGTTGTAGTTGTTTAGGCTACAGTGGGTTAGCCTATAGGGGGTACACATTTCTAGGTTTTCATACTTGTACTCATTTCACTGTTAGTTCATTCATTCTTGTTCAACAGGCTCAGCACCCCCAGACTCAGCACCCCTAGGCTCCGCACGCTCATGCTCAGCACCCCCAGAACCAGCACCCGCAGGCTCAGCACCCCTAGCAGCACCAGAGTCAACAGTTAGCTCGACAGGCTCGACTGCGTCTACCTAGGACACACCTAAGGGGGCAGGACCCTGAGGGGGGAGGGGGTCTACCTGGAGAGGACCTGGCGGTGGAGGTGGCGGAGGGGGTGGGGGTGGAGGTGGAGGTGGGAGTGGTGGCTCGGGTGGGGGCTTCGGTGGCGGCGGTGGAGGTGGAGGCGGCGGAGGCAGAGGGAGTGGGGGTGGAGGTGGCGGCGGCGGGGGTGGCAGGGGCGGTGATGTGCAGCGGGGAGGCGCTAGCGGTGACCAGCGCCAGCAGCAGCAGCGCTCCCGTGAGACCCTATCGCCTCAGTAGCTTCGTGAGTGGTACGCTGGGCGTGGGAGGTTTGGGGGTCCCTGCACTTACGTTCTTCGCACCGGCGACCGCAGTGGAGAGACGTGCGGCGGCCCGCACACCACATCTTGCTGCTTCGGCCGCTTTACTGACGCCTGGCGTACACAGTTCCCTGGCTCTCCTGAGATCCCTCGCTGGGATATTCTGCTCAAGTTGGGGGTTGCTATCTTTGATCTTGACTTCGATGCTATCCTTGCTGCTATGTATGCTGTGTCTATTAGTGTTGAGGGTGACTGTTACATGTGTGTTCCGCCCGACCCGGGCATTGAGGCTGCTGCGCTAGGTGCTTGTGAGCCTACTGCTCCAGGTGCTGGTGAGACTGTTCTCTCAAGTACAGCGTCGGCTCAGGTCTTACACACTTTAACCCTTGACTCGGGTGCTTCCCGCTCCTTCTTTCGCGACTGCACCACACTCTCGCCGCTCAGTCGGCCTGTGGCAGTCTCTCTCGCTGACCCCTTTGGGGGACCAGTTGTGGCCCGTTCCTCCACTGTTCTCCCGTGTCCTGCGGCTCCGTTCGGCTCGCTGTCTGGTCTTCACCTCTCCTTGTTCTCTACGAACTTGGTGGCGGGTGCTGATGTTCAGGATGGGGGTGTTCACCAGTTCACCCCTGCCTATCAGCGTGTGACACACTGCACATGTGCTCGAACGGGTCGTCACCTGGCCACGTTCACCTGTCGGCCAGGGTCCAGTCGGTACACCCTTACCATTAAGTCTCCTCCTGTTACTGCGACTGGTCAGGTAGCTGCATCGGGTCAGGTGTTTGCTGCGGCGTCCCGGTCTGGCCCTGATTCTGCCCCCTGCTCGTGTCGCCTCCTGTCTCACGAGACTCTCCTTTGGCACCACCGCCTTGGTCACCCCTCCCTGCCTCGTCTCAGAGGCATGGCCTCCCATGTCCTTGTCGACTTTGCTGCTCACTGTCGTCTCGACTATGCCGCTAGTCTTGTTGCTGAGTCTGAGTCTGTCTGTACTCCGTCTGTCGGGGGTGAGTGTGCTCTTAGCACGGACGTCCTTGAGGACAGACAGGAGGAGTTTGAGTAGCAGGAGCAGCAGTAGCGGCGCGACTCGATAGGGCGGCGCGGCTAGGCAGGGCTGCTTGGTTAGGCAGGGCGGC